ATATATAAAATATATGCATCCCCACCTTCTACATGGCAAGTGAAACCAGTAGGCCCTAGACTCTAAATCTTCCAATGAACATTGAATATTGAACAAAAAAGATTAAATATGAAAAACAAATAAAAATGAAAACATTTGGTAGAGAGAGAGTTTGTCAGTATTCCACTCATCTATTACAAACAGTTTAATAAAAAAAAGCATCTGCAGTACCGCCCACAGTACTGCAGTTTGTACTGCACTTTTACATACGTTTTCACTGCAACTGCAAGGGACAGCGTGATTTACACCAAGGTAAGTCAGTAGGCCTAGGGTCAACACGTTCTCTCTGGCACTATAGTAAGGTAAGCAAGCAGGTGATGACGATGATGGTACGACAGCAGTCAGTGTGAGTGATTCGACACATTCCTAGTCCTAGGTTTTTGCCCCAACTCAACAAACAAACAAGCCAATGTGTTTCTAAAAGGTCAAAAGTCAAAGGGTAAAGTTGAGACTGCCTCTTCTCTTTTGCAAACGATGATGTAGGACAGTGAAGGCCCTCCCTTTTCTTCTTCCCTCTCAGATTCACATATTATATTTTTGTTAGTATGATAAGCATATCATAGATAAAAATCGCTGTTTTTGACTGTTTCTTTTTGGAATAGAGTTTCATCAAGGTTGCATCTTTTCAGTGAAAAATTACTATTTTAAAATTTGTTTCGGTGTGGAAATTTCCTCATTGTAATAATTTTTTTAAAATACCGTTGTTGTTGTCGGCAAATGAAAAATGAAAAAAAGCGAAGAAACGAAGTTAGCCTACTTCCTATACTTCACTACTTCTGACTTACTATACTGTTCACTGATCCAAAATCTATGTCAAGTCCCAAGTTCGAACTAACACTAAAACTAAAAGACGCCATATGAATAGGTGGAGATTGGGGACCAGAATGTCCCCTGTTGTATTCCTCATGGCTGTGATTTCCCTTGTTGTTGTCAAAAGCGATAGAATCCACCAGGTAGGCTAGAGTTTACTCTAGATCTTAGGACACTTCCTAAGACTTAGATCTAGATCTATATCTATATCTAGGTCTTATTAGGAAGGTAGGTCTAGAATCTAGATCTAGATCTAGAGATCTGGTCTAGATTTGTAGATCTAATCTAGATCTAGATCTACAGAATTGCAAGGGAGTCTGATAAAAATTCCGTTTTAGACATTTTCCATTTTCTTCGACAGGGGAATTTAGGAGGGGAAGAAGGGGCGAAGAAAGAGGGGGTTTCAGAGACCCACCCATTGGCCTGGGGTCAAGGGTCGCTTGTGTGCGGGGCAAGCAGTGGTCAAAACCTCACACCACAAGTGCTATCCTAGCCTCTCTGATAATGAATTCATAATGGCACATATCAGTCTTATTTAGCCTACCCATTGCCACATGTCACGTGCTTGCAACTTATTGGACCTTTGGCCCCAATTTGACCTCAGATTAAAAAACATTGATTGTTACTTAAAAACACAGTCAACCAATGCCACCCCTCGTGTGCATGTAATGGTTTGTGGAACATTTTTCTCGTCTGGCTGTACTATCAGGGTGACAGGCATTGGTAGACTTAATTCACACTCACAGTGACACTTGCTGGCAAAGCAGCACCCAATGGCCGAATCATGCTCGACCCACCAATGGTGATCGCCAGATGCAAGGAGAGCCTTCACAACCAAGAGGAGACAGACTCCCATACACTCAGCACAATAAAAGAAAAGTGTGTGCGGGGCACAGCGAAAAAAAATTTGCTCCGAGGAGTGGTCAGGCGTGTCTCAAACCAGCTCCTCATGGAGACAATTAGCAGGAAGACCCTGTGGTGGACGCTGGAAAGGAGAGATGAGCAGCTATGGACATGTGCCGCCTGCTATGATTCTAGCTCTGGATCCAAGTAAATCCAAATAAATTCACAGTGACTACGTTCACGACGCCCTGAATCATCCACCATTGGCACAGAGGCATGACTGAAATGCTATGAGGCTATGGTCACTCAAAGTGAATGAGGAAACAGCACAGGAATACTGGCGTGAAAAATAATGCAGCAGTGGTCCTAATGCAACAAAGTTTATGGAGGGCAAAGGCTGGCACAGCAAAACAGCAGCAGTCGACAAAGGCCTCGCTCACACAGCACATGGGTGACGGAACATGACTTCGATCGTCTTCCTGTTTGCGGACCCGTTAATGCTCGACAATTTGAAAATAAAAGTCATTCAAAGAAATAATAGGAAGAATGGAAGAAGGCCATGGGGGGAAGAAGGGTGGGAGGGGGGTGAAAGAAAGAAGAAGCAAAAGGGAAAAAGGTAGGGGATGAAGTGAGCAAAGATCATTTTTAAATTGCGAACTACATTCAGGGCACTAAACGTAGTCACTGCAAAATTAATTTCTCACCTCTGCGCTAGGCTATCCAAGAAAGATTCTGGGTTGGAGTGGTACTCGAAAACTTTCACACACACTGGTGTGAGATTTCATATTATAACCACACTACCCTGACCATTTGCATCGCTCAGGGCTCACATGGGTGGGGTAACATTAGAGCTGGAGTCTGCTCGATTAATCAAAGGCTTGTGAGCAATGGATGGCTTGCACCAGAGCTTGTGAGCAGGCTTGTGCTTTGCTTTGTCTGCCGCTCGCTACCGAGGGAGCTTCCGGTCAGTTGTCACTCATGGACAGGCTTGCTGTATTGTGTTGTGAGGTCACGAACTCTCATGGCTGTTGGCTCAGTACATATTACAGAAGATTCTGGTTATTTGCGTTGAGAGGCTTGCACCAAAAGTGCAAGGTTGTTGGGTTTTTTTCATTGTCGGGTTAAAAAAAAAAATTGCTCTATTCTATGCACTTTAAAATTAATATGGATTGGCTATTCTTATGATACAAAGGCTGTTTTTTTAAGAAAAATGTTCACGGGTCAAGCGCTTCGTTGTCACACGCAAAAAACTTCAGTTCAATTCCCGTATGGGGAGAAATTTTTACTGATAACCTCCGTCCTTCTGCTGGGGCATTACTCCCTCTCAGCCCAGATTGGCCCTGTTATTGGGTTGAAGTAGCCTGTCTCCTAAATGTTCTATATTATGTCATTGGGAGTGTAAAACATCTACAAAATAGGCTAACATATGATGCAAAAGCCAATCACAACGACTCAATGAGTTTTCCATTCGGAGAATCTAAGTCTACTTATTAAACAATTCCACGCTTCTTCTCATCACATCCACCCGCTCAGCTGATCAAGGGCGGGAAGTTAAAAATATCTTCCGCTATAGCCTTCTACCCTCTGCATCTTGCACTAAAACAAGCACAGCCTCTCCTTTCCTCCACGGTTCAGAGTTCACACTGCGAGCGGTCTTGGTGCTCCCTGCTGGCACAAGTGGCTTGCCAGGCCGCGAGCAAGTCATGGGGCACGAGCAAGTCACGGGACACTGTGCAAATTCACACTGTGAGCGGTCTTGCTGCTTGCTGCTGGCGCAAGTGGCTTGGCAGGCTGCGAGCAAGTCATGGGGTACGAGCAAGTCATGGGGCACAAAGCAAGTCATAGGGCACGAGCGGCTTGCAGTGCTGAGAGCAGGATTTGAGGCTTGCCTGCTGTGCTGTGAGCGGGTCTCTCTCTCTCTTTCTGACGTAGGTGGCTTCGCGGATTGCAAGCAAGGTGTGAGGAGGATGAGGGGTTCCGACACAAGTGGCTTCGTGGATTGCTAGTAGTGTTTTGGATTTGAAACTTAGGCTAGACTCAAGTATAACATGCTGGTCATTTGATTTGATGATTTGACCTAGTGATTTGAGGCTTGTGATTTGAACGAGGGGCTTACAAGCATGAGCGGGTTTGCTACTGGGGTACAGCTCTAGGTAACATATTCGCACCCCTACTTCCCTTCCTTGCCTGGCAGCATGATGAAAATGTTAGAACAGATGGAACCAAACTTGATAGTTTTGTTTCAAATCAGGGTTGAGAGGGCAAAGCGTTTTCTGATTTAGACTGTAAAAAAACACCCCCTCCATAGTGAAATATTTTTTTGGGAGTTTCAATTTTAGGCAGTTTTTCATCTTATGGAGGTAATTATAGAGTAATTAATCAAGGGTTTTACATATTGCAAAGGTTTTAAGTCTGTTTAAACAACAATTAAAAAATACAATTTTATTTCAGCTTTGTAACCACCTTTCTCTGAATTTCTGTGTATGATGTGTACAGTATATCAGGCTCAATCTCCTTTCATTAGAGTTTAAATGAAAGTAAAATTTGAAGCAAAGGGCAATTTTCAGAAATATTGTGACTACTTTAGTGTCTTTAATTCAATGATCAATCTTTTTACTTTTTCTAAAACTTTCAAACAGGAACATGGAGACATCGAAAATGTTGACAGTGTTCCTGCTGTGTGCTCTCGGGCCTGTAAAGAAGTCAGTATCAATGGCACTGCCACGGATTTGTTTTGCAAGAAGCATCCTGAGCTTCGTGTTGTTGGGCGCTGTTGTCTGAATGAAACAGAACATGCCACACTAGTGTTGGGGTAAGAATGTTAAACATACTTATTTCTATTGGCTGTTATGTGAAGGGAAAAAAGCAATTTGAATGTGATTTTATGTCGCAGAAGCTTTGTATTTACTCATTTATCTAGTTTTTGTTCTCTTACAGTTTCTTTATTACTGACAAGACAGTACTACCAGTACAGAATCATCTGTAAGATCAGGAGTTCCCATGAAATTTTCACTTCTCGTACAATACCAACCCAGATATCTTGGGTAACTGTGCTGATTGGAAGATTGTGAATTCCGAAATAGCTCCGCCATGGAAAGGTAGAGAGTAGGAGGAGGAAAAATCCTTATTTTCTATCACCACAACTGGTATTTTCTGGTGTGCAGTAGCTTGATTGTCTTTATGTACCATCATTGCAGGACATAAACTGCAGAACAACACGACAAAAATACTCTCATTTTTTGTAACGAAACTAGAACTGTGTCTATTGGTGTTATGAAATCTACGTTTTTGAGATCATGTGCAGGGATATTAAGGCCCAAAAGAAGATAAATGATGTCGTTGGCTCTTAAATCCGGTGGACAGTAGAAGGCGAATTGTGGACTTCTTGGTGGCAATTTTGAAATCTGCCCCACACAGATTAATGTACATTTATTTCCATGAAATCAAAATTGAGAAATCTGTTTTCAAACCTGGGTCTTAAAGGCACTGCAGATTATTAGGAAATAATGGGTTTTGCAAACGATCTCACATTTTATTATATTTATGTGCATCTGCGTGTGCTTGAGTGTGTGAGTGAGTGGGGGGCGGGGGGGGGGGGGGGG